AGAGGGGAGAAATGGGGAGAGAATCAATAAAGTAATTATTAAAGAGGGATGGATTCCGAAGATGGATAGATACAGAAAAAGCAGTTAGGGGAATAGCGCCGAGTTGAAAAAGATTCGCCAAAATTGGTGAGAAGAATCGGAGGAGAGGGATGTAGAGTTAGGAAGATCTTTTCACGATGAATAGCAGATGTATAGTTTTTAAGCGTCTTGTAAAATGTAACGCATCTAATCGGCCTCAGATTAGTCCGTCTAAACTTGTTAAGAGCAAGAGATTTTAGAGTAAGTTTATTTATAGCCGTTTTTAACCACGGGACAGGTCAAAATCGCTCGTAAACTTTAATAATTACGTTTCAACTGCAATTACTGTAAATATATGAAACATGTATAAATTTCAATTCCAAAACATCATTAATTACATGCGATATTGCTAATAATGTTAGAGAAACGCTTATTTATGTAGAAACAGAGAAGCAGAGAATTACAAATTGTGTAAGGCAAAGTCATTGTCAGGTTATATACGTATTTAGGAAACACGTATGATTTATCGTACTTTGTGTAATACTATTTATACGCTTCAACATAAACCGATAATGCCAATCGCATAGCATATATAACATATATTAATTTCCGATTATTTCTAAATAATAATTTTGATTGTAATCTAGATTAAAATGAGATTAAAACAACTATTAAATCTTACTTAAAACGTATGTATACTTTTAAAATTGATATAAATTGTTTGTACAGACAAAATTAAAAGGCTGTTTGAAAAGTTTTTCGTACACATAAAATAAAATTGTTTTTATAATTTTTTATAAGATGAAAAAAAATTGCTCTCCGATATAAATACCTCACAATTGTCTTTATTTTTGCAGTGATCTTTTATCTAATATAAAACTTATGAGTAACACACGATCTTAATGCCCCATTTTTTTTTCCAGATCTTCCGAGTAATTTCAATTTTTTTCCTTTCTTTCTCTCTCTTTTTCTCTTACTCTATCTATCTCTCTGTCGCTTTCTTTTTGTCTTCGCTTTTCTGCGCGAAACCTCGTTGATCTGCACCAATAATCGCAATATCCGTATGCACGATATGATGCGTATTACCGTTCCGACGATCTACCTAGAAGCTCGCTGAAAAATCGAGTGTTTAAATGTAAGTCGTATATAAACGTATTAATATTCGAAATAATTTAAATAGATCATCAGTAATGATGATATCGATACTGTCACACAAGAGATGTATTTATAGCATATTTCATCGATCTTTTGTAAGCTATTGTTACAAAAAACCAACAGACTTTCGCGAGATATTAATTCAGACATCTTAGAATTTTTATTCCAAGCATCACAAAATTGATAAAATAAAAATTATTTATTATTTAATGTTACATATTCATATATACTTACAAAAGTTTTGATACCATTAATGTATTTAAAGTGCAAAATGAATATTGTTTAAACAAACATATATACAACATTCGCTGATAGATATTTGTTTGAAACGATATTGATATGAATACCATTGCTAATCGCGCGAGTTGTCTGGTTTTTCATGAACTCGCTCACGTCAGCCGGTGGCTATCTACAGCGTATGCACCACTTTCGAACTTTTGACCTGAAAACGAAGAGTACGGTCGCATGGGAAGCACGTAGCCGTAAGTTAGCACGAGGTCTGTGGAAGAGAGACGCCACTGAATCTCGTTCAAAGTTCAGAGGTACTCACACGACCCCCAGGGCAAAGGTACCAAGTGAAGTATCTATATGCCCCTGAAATTCAACGGTATCACCACCGAGTTCTTCATTGTCGAATGCTTTACTGTGGAGTCACGTTTTATGATAATAATTACTTATATTTACTTCAAATTGATAGAATCATTTAAAAAATTAAGAATCAAGCTTAAGGATTATGTAATTGTTAAACTAGCATTGATCAGATAATAATTATATCATATTAAATGGACGAACAAACTATATCATATAAAATGATAAAATAATTATAAACATTTTCTAATTATAATCTTTTTACATGCTATCTTAATATTTTCGTCGATTCGTTCATATTTTGTTATAACCCTATATAATAGCTTACTATGAATCATGTATCTTTTGATATTAAATTGTTTTTACACTTGATTTAAAAAAAAGATATTATATACTTGTCATTTCTGCAAGAAAAGGTCAAGAATGTCTTGATTGTTTGGCGATTGTTCGTCAAGTTATGTCGACTTGACACAATGTTCGCAGATCTGCCATTATTGATCGGCATTACAAATCAACGTCAATAATTATAACTCAAAATAATCGAGGACATTGAATTTATTTTACCTTCAAACATAAATAATTTAGAACAAAAAGAAATGAGACACGATTTTAAATTTAAAGTATTTCTGCTCCAAATCATAGAAATTGTTCGTTCTTGTTAAACTAGGTACCCTACACAATTAATATACATCACGTCGCTCAGTATTAGGTAATTTTCTACATCGCCTGTGATAGAACAACTTGCTTTTTGATTAACCATAGTCATTGATATGCACCTGATAGCGTTAAGAAACTTCGCCGATACAAGAGAACAAGACAATGGCTTGCGACCCTGTTTCGTGACGTGCGAACGAAAATGCGCATCACGTGCGCCCGGACGTGGTCTGTGACTACTAGCGCGTTTGAAGGATCAACGGATTCGAATCAATGATTTGTAGGTACCAACAGGATTATGAAGAGAAAAAAGATAGATGAAAGAGCACCAATGCTTTCTTTTGCGTGAAGCATTCATTAATATTTAAAATGATAGATCAAGATGATACATATAAAATAGCTTCATACTTACATTTAGAGAAAAATACATATTAATGATGGCAACCACAAAGATAACAACTATGTTTTATATGTATATATAGAGTTAATTTTAATTTTAATAATTAGCTAAATAAATCATTTTATAATTATTGTAACTATGAAAAATAGTTTATTCACCTAAGTATGTTAGGATGTTCTCTCAACTATATACCTACATTAATTCTACATATAAAACTTATATAGTTCTCATTTTTATAATTATCACCACTATGTTTTTCTCTGAGTGATATCACAAATGCGAAAAAAGCGGAAATCTAATTCTCAGATGAATATACGCTCGCTTTATCACATGCACGTTTCGTCTTCTAAATAATTTAAATATGTCATTGGGCGCGATTCACTTTACGCTGCAAATATTTTGAAGCATTCTTTGATTGGTCAATTCGTTAAAATTCTTTCTTCTAATTTGACAACGAAACATTTGCAGCATTAAATGAATCGCATCGATTGTTACAAAATTTACCAGGCATTTTCGTAAAAAGCTGAAAATATAACGATAAACTAGTTATGTTTGAAACTGTATGCTCGAATTCTTCTTGAAATTTGGAGCTACGTGATCATACTTTACGTAAGAAACGTTCAGAACATCTCGCCATAAAGCATTCTACTCTCAAAGACGATGGTAGCAAAGACTAGATAGCAAAGAGAGAAGTACGGCCTTTTAGGGCAGTTAAGTGCACAACGCGCTTCAACTCGTATTTCGTTCTCGCTTCTTGATCTGTACCTCGCCTCAGATCAGATCGAATCAACCATTCTGCCCTGCCTCTCGCACGACGCGAAACAAACGCGCTTATGTGGACGATCTCGCGATCCCGATCCTTCTTAGAACGTGCAAACTGGCAAGGGACTGCACCACGAGTTTTTAGTGCAATGCGTGAAAACGGAAAACGTTCCTTTTCTTTTTACTTGTGAGGACATTTATTGCGAATAGTAGCAACGCTAACCAAGCTAAGCTAGTTACAACAATGATGTATTCGTAAAGCGTCATTATATCTAATAAATATTTAAAATAAAAAAAAGTACGTACGATAGAAAAAATGTTGAATGAACTAAAGAACGGAAAAGAATGAAAAAGAAAGTAAAATGTAAAAAAGATGAAATAACTATGATGATGAGGAGAGTGAGAAGTGGAACACAATTCGTTCGAAATTATCCAAGTCCGAGAAACCAACGATCAAAAATCACCAACTAATATTAATGTGATGGTTATATCTGGTTTGATAAATTTGATAATTGCTCTAATTTTCTGTTTCGGGAATATAGATGTAGTCGTGATAAGCTAAAATTAATAGCGAGAAGCAATATTAATTCGTAAAAAAAGTGGAATTTTTGACAAACAGAATCTTCGATATGTGATTTACGTTGAATGATTATCAGGACATTTCTGTGTGTAGAGCAACGTAAGCTTCAAAGCTGAAACGTGATGCAATGTATTGGAGGAAGCAAGTTTTCCTCTGGAATGTAGGACGCAAGCTCAGAGATAAGATTGGTGAAGGATCATAACAGGATCCTTCCGTCGTATCTCTGACGTGCACTCACGTGATCTAACATCACACATTCGTGAAGGCACGCCGTCGAGTGACGAAGACTCTCCGGAACGAGGCTGCGATTGATCGATTTTGAAGGGATCCGAAGAATGCCGACGAAACGACAGTGGCGTCGATAGCAGTGGCGTAGTGTATGTGTTTTCGGTAAATATGTCGAAGCTCGCAAAAGATGCGGAGCAATGTCGTTGCCCTCTTCTCCTCGGTCTGCTCGGCTGTCCGGCTCCACCATCGCCATCGCAATCGCCATCGCCATCGCCATCGCCATCGCCATCGCTTTCCCCCCCCGCCGCTCCCCCCGCCGTCGCCGCCACCGTTGTCCAGTTCTTCCTCTTTCTCTATCTTCACTTGTCGCTTTTTCACTCTCTCGTGATATGCTGCCACCGCCGCCACTACCACCACCGTCGCGTCGTTGCCGCCGCCGTCGCTGCTTCTGCCGTCGCTTCCTCCGCTACGGGTACGTACTATCCCTGTCCCCTCCGCGAGACTATCCTCTTATTCCCACTCCTTCTCTGGAGCACCTGTCGTGCCAGGGAGTTCGGCGCGTTAGGGGCGCTCGATGAAGGTAAGTAGATGGTGGGTTATATCAGTCGGCGGAATATCTTCGTCACGAGCGGGAACGCGAGCTCCCCGGTGTGGTAACGCGTGTAGAGAAGGAACACGAATCACAAGTGTGGAAACATTAATATTTATGCCAGCCATACCACCACCGCAAATCACTTCCGTTTAATTATCGCGTAAAGTAGTTTAAAAAAAAAGAAAAGATCGCTAGTGCTTTTTATACAGCCATTTTAATAAATTAAAAGTATTCCGTTATTATACGGTACGGAATTACGCCATTCGGCTATTTTCCGGTCGAGATATCCGTGTTATTTTCGCGATAAGACACAGATACGTTCCGGTAAGTTGCAGTCGCACGATGACCGCGACCACGACCGCGCCAAGGTAAATGCCAGCAAGGAGGTCACGGCGCCGGTGAATTGTGTTAAGTGCGCCAAGCGACTTATCCCGAGTCTACGAGAAATTTCACCATTAGTAGTGCACACGACGGTGAACGACATACGCCCGGCGATATAGCACCTGAACGGTCAATATCAACGTAATAAGAAAAAAATTTTTAAATACTACGTCTGTCGTAGTAACAGTTTCCGGAACAAGACGAAAGCGAAATAATAAGATAATAAGAAGACTGCCGGGATGCTGCACGAGGAGCTATTGAGCTCCAGCTAACACGTGGCGATTACGCGCACACTCCGCAGTTACACGGTGAGTCTTACTATTGTGAACTGTTACTACTGTTTAACCAATCGGAATTATCTTATAAAATTTTCTGCAAAATATTTGATACAAATTGTTTTTACGTAATTATACGATTATCTTCTCTAAAATTAAATGTAAAATTGACAAATATATTAATGACATGAGATAATGATAATTAATCTTCGAAATCAATTTATAACACAATTATATCATTATAACTATGTACAACATCAATCATTAAATGATGCACAATAAGTGTTTCACATGTTGCTCATGCTACATAAAATATAATAAAAGCAGCCTTTTAATGATATTTAACGGTAAATCCTGATTAGTGTTACAAAACATCATAATGCCTATCAGCTGTCTAATCGAGATCAATGCTAATTTATATCGAAATCAAGTAACTGAAGTATTAATATTTCCAAGTATATTCCATATGATGTAAAAGGACCAAGCGTCGGAGGAATGAAATTATTGTACTTGCGATCCGCACTTGCATGATCTGCTTACCGATGTAAACGCGTGCGAATAGAATGACCGCACCGAAACAATCGGGTGGATAAGGTTCTTGTATGAGGAAATTGGGAGGGGAGAGAATGTGGTCGGTCGACAGGCAAAGAGGCCTCACTAAATTTTCGTGCCGCTGGTCCGGACGCAATGTGCCTGAGATCCCCACGTGCTTTTAAACCACCTCTCTATCTCTCTGTCTGTCTCTCTTGTCTCTCATCTTTCTCTCTCTTTTACTTCATCTCCTTATATTCGTTCATCTTTACCTCACTCTTTCGTTGACCGCTTTTCTCCTCATCGCTTCTTTCTCTTGCACGGATAAAGACTTCGTTCCAGCGGATCATCGGCTTCACTCTCCTCTCTACGCTCCTTTCTTTTTCCCTTTCTTTACCCCTCTCTCTCTCTCTCTCTCTCTC